ACGATCACTAGAATCCACTAGCGAGTCTTCTAGAGGTCGTGCTAGCACCCCACTGGGTTCTGGATAGTTCGGTCGATCAGCTGCCGAAGGCTGAGTTGCAAGCCATTGTTCGTAGATTTCGCATTCACGCTGAAAGAGCTCGCGGTCTCTACAACCTTCGCAGGCCAACACTTGCCAGTCTTGGTACTTCTTGGACTCCAGACGCACATAGCCGTCACCTCGTGGCAAATCCCCATCTGGATTCCACATCGCGATCGAGTCGTGTGCTGGTAGGTACACAGTTCGATCAGACACGTTGGTCAATCGAATGCTCTGAGGCCGTCCACGTCGAAACCTCGTCACTGACGGGATTAATTTGCTCGTTCGACGAGCCCACAGTACGTGTTCTTCCAGCCCGACTTGACGCTTCGCTAGTCGATATTCTCGCCACTCGTGCGCTTGAATGTCCAAACGCTCGGGTGGCCCGGCGTTAACATGGGAGCCGTATTCTTCGCTGTCGATCATGTTCTTGGTCTTGATCAGTGGGATTTGAACTTCGTGCGGTAATTGCACCGCGCCGTGAAACAGGTCCATCCGGATCCCAGCTGGGATCATAAAGTCGGTCCCGAGTACCACGTCGACGCCTGCACTATGCGCCATTACCCACATCTCGAACTCGTACACCATCTCCCATCCAAGCGTAATCTTGACGCACGCTCGTCGCGTCGTAGACACCTTGCCTTCGTTGATTCCTTGAATGTCAATGCGGCGTCCGTGATCAGGTACATCTCGGAGTCGCAACTTCTTGGCAAAGGCGTCAGTGATCACACTAACGTTCGCTCCTGTGTCGAGGAGGATCCTCGTTCGCTGGTCGTTCACAGCGCCTTGCACCAGAGCTCTCATTCTGATCCGTCGGTCGAATTTCTTGGCCGACCACCACCCCTGTCTCTCGCCAGGGTTCAACTTCATCATCTTGGAGTGACCCTTGGGCTCGTCTCGCGCTGCACTCGACACCAAGCCGAACGAACCCTCGCTGGTGCCCTCATCAGCATCAGCACACTCCACTCTCTCTCCAACACCTCCACCGAGGATTCTACTCCTCTCCTTTTAATTTTTCGTCGCACTCACACTTGTTACGTATTTATCAGGCCATTCACTCTGCCCCATGAAAGCAAAGATACACTCTGCTTCCATTGAAGGCTCGGTTAACTGTGGCAGCCCGATAGGGACCAACCCAGTTGTAGTTGGCGGGCTGCCTAGTTTAAATGACGTTCTTGAACGACGGCCTTGAGCTCTGGCGGGAGTTCCTCCTTCGTGCCTTTGGTGCGCACAAATTTGGCAAGGTCTTGGAAGTTGCGGAAAAGTTCGCATTGTCCAGCATCGTGGAGTTGTTTGCAGAACTTGCATCGCTTGTTACAGTAGTGGGCGGAGTGACTCATGCCACCGCACACCGCGCATGGTCCGTACTGTGGGCGTCGGTTGTCGCGGTTGAAGTCACGTCGACCGCGTTGGTCCTGATTGAACCCACGGTCACCACTTCGGCGATCTTGATTGAAGCCATTCTCGCGATCGGGCGTGTTTCCACGCGGTTGACGGTTGTCTGAACGTGCGTAGGTGCCTTCAGCAGCTGCACGGCGCTCATTTTCGTTAGCAGCGGCGAGGTATCGGTCGTTTTCATCCAATGAGAAATCACCATCCGTATTATCGGGCTGAAAGTCGTTGTACTCGTCTTGGACATCGTTGTAAACGTTCGAATCTTCGTTTGAATACTTGGTGCCTCCCTGAGCAGCTTCACGACCTTCTAATTCAGCTAGTAGGTCATCCACCGTGGCTTCAATGAGCGTCACTCTTGGTTTGTTTCGGTTGTCATCGCGGCGACGGTCATCACGCCGGTTGTTGCGGGCGTATCCATCGTCGCGTCGCGTATCACGACTCTTGGAGTATCGGTACTCACTGTCACGCTTGGTCATTCTCTCCTTGCCCTTGAGAACATCTTCGATGATCTCTTCGAGCTCGTGAATGTCGGCGACTCGAGCGTGGTAGAGACTCTCAGCTAGCTTGTCATCGTCGCATGTTGCCAGGAACTGCTGTACGTGTTCTTTCGCGTCGCGACCACTCTTCTCAAAGTGTAGACGGGCGGTCCGAGCGTAGCCATTCAGCCTGTTTATGTAGTCGCACAGATGTTCATTTCGTTCCCGCTTGGCGGAGTAGTAACGCGACAGTGCCGTCTGAGTGAACTGCGAGCAGTAGTAGCGGATGAACGCATCGCTCAACAGCTTCCACTTGCGCTTCGTCTTCTTCGGAAGTTGACGGAACCAATGAATGGCTCCGTCCCGGAGACTTAGCTCAAATGGAATGCACCATTTGTCGGCATCTGTGTGGGTTCCAGTCATTTCATAGACGAACCCACGGAGCCACTGCATACAGTTCTCGCTCTTGTTGCGAGAGCCTGAGAACGGCGTGATGCGATCCAGTGGTCGGTGCGAAGCCATTTCAATCCTCGGTGTTGGGTCCACGTCGTTCAGCGTCGCTAGCTCATTCATCTGACGCATCAACTCGAGTTGAGGATCTTCCTCGTCGAATGTACGCACAAAAGTCAGCATCACTGGACGAACCATCGCTGTCGACTTGACGACGTCCGGCACCACCTTTGGGAGCTCGCGCACCGCCTCGGCGACCGAACGAACCCTCGTTATGTGCGTAAATACGTTGCATACGGCTCTCCGAACGTGGCGTAACCATGTGCGAGTCTTGAAAGTACGGTGAAGCTTCAGTAGTGCCAAAGGCACCACGCTCAGCTCCACGCTTGGTCGGAGGAGTACGAACGAGTCGTTGGGGTGTCGGCGGTAGTGGAATCGTGGACGGATCTTCTTCTTGAATCATCGGTCGACTCACAGGCTGTTTTCCGGCGTTAATGCCAACAGCGCCAAACGCCTTCCGAAGCTTCTTCTTCCATATCTGGAGAGCAGCTCCGGCTTCATGTGGACTCCAATCTTGGAGCGACATCGTCGATGGGTACGTCTCGTTCTCGAACCCCAGCGACAACAGTAGCGAAATTGAATCCTCGGCAACTTGGCTAGTCGAAACCGAGTTGACTGGGTATTGAAGTTCCTGCGCAAGCGCAGGCCAGTCGGCTTTTTTCTTGGGGATGGGCTTGAACAGCTGCATCCACTCATCATTCTGCATCAGCGCTTGTACGCGGTCGAAAACGCGCTTGGCGGCTGGTGTATCACCGTTGATAGGTGGGCGAGGTGCCTTCAGCAGTGCTGAAGGCTTTGCACTCGCCACCGAAGGTTTAGAACCCTCGGTCCCATCGTCATAATCATCATAGGCCGGTTCCGGTCCCGCAACATCATCGAGCACGTTGGCGAGGTTCCTCGAAAGGGACCTGGTCGCCCCGCTCAGCCCCGATGATAGCGTGGCCGTCTCCGGCGTCGCTGCGCCTGGCTCTGGAGCCGGCGTCTTGTCTTCGTAATCTTCATAATCGTGGGCGTCAAGACCGATGTCCGCTTCGTCGCCGAAGCTCACTGAAAGCTCGGTGGCGGCTGCAAAGCGCGCAGCCGGGCTTGAACTCTCGTTGCGAGCCCCGCCAGACTTGGCAGGCGTAACTGGTACCGTCGGTTGTCCTTTCGCCATGTTTCTTGTCTTTTTCTTGTTCTTCTTCTCTTGGTTGCTCGTAAACTGGAAGGCTATACAAACAGTTCACAATGGTCACAATCTGCTCCCGGGTCGCGGCACCAGTTGTGGTGTTGGAAATCCCACGTGAACTCTAGCTACAAATGTAGTTAGGATGTTCCCACAACAATACGTCTACTAGGATAGTAAACGATCGTTCCGGCGGACCTGAAGACCCCAGTTCTGCCCTTGCACCGGGACAAACTGGACCTTGTAAACTACTTATATAGGCCAACTAGTAAAAATAAGAACACGCTACTATCACGAGCAAAGCTAGCAGGTGTTTTGAATCCTCGTGGTCCCAACAGCGGAAGGGTACCAGGCACGGGTAAGCCTTTTACGAGATCACCGAGTGTTCAACACTCGGCTGGAAGAAATAAAAGGGAGGCAATTAAAGCACTCCCAGTCGTGCAAATAGGCAACAATAAGCCGTCACGTAAAACCTCCCGATAGTAATCGGCCAAAATACACAGTCTCTTGGCCTTGCCGGATGAACCCTCGCTACAGAGCTTCGAGTTCACCGACAGGCATAACACACTCAAACAAGCTTGACCAGACGCTTACCTTGAAGCCGGACGTCGCTCTGTGTGCTTGAGTGGAAATTCTGTTCTGTATTTAAGCTTACCCTTTCGGGTCTATTCCTAATAAGAAGTCCTAATCAAGTATACAAATATCAAGTGAACAATGATCCGTTATGGATCTTCTTGCATGCCAAGCGTCGTCTGCACCATCGCATGAGCATCTTTAACGGTCCGCGCCCTGTCCCAGACGGTGAACGTGCCTTCCAAGGGTCGCTGAGTCTTCCGCGAGCTCATCCCAACCGCCACTGAGGGTTCGTACCGTAGATGGTCCGCTGAATGCGAATCCGGCCAGTCCATTATTAATAATAAGGACAGCCTGGATTCAGTGACATATGCCCGTATCCAATGCTCGTTGAATGTTAGGAGGTGACGCCGTCGAGTCCCTTGCACCTTGGCGTCTCCGTACATCACCTGACCGAGGGTTCGTCGCTTGAACAACTTGGGCGGTGTCACGTCTTTGTCGACGGGTGATAATCCGCAACTACGGAGAAATCACTACACCACAATAGATGCCCCCGCTCGTCCGACGCTTGTTGAAAATTTAAAAGTGACAGTGACCTATCCCAGTACTGCCGGTAGATAAAAACTGCTAAACCCGGTTAGTACTGAGCATTACCGATATCCCTTAAGTACGAAAGCTGAAGGATAATTATTAATACCTAAGTACTTTTCTTAAGTAAAGGACAATTATTGTAAAAAAAAATGATTGACAATCGTACTTAAAGGATTCCTTGGCGCGCGCGGCAAAAACATGTCAGTCGGCAACTTTCATCTTGGCCACCATGTTCTACTCGCAGATCATCCTGGCGAAGAAGGGCCCTCTGGGCAAGATTTGGCTGGCTGCTCACTGGGACAAGAAGCTCAACAAGCAGCAGATATTCACCGCCGACATCCACAGCTCTGTGCAGAGCATCCTGAACCCACAGGTGCCGCTCGCTCTGCGCGTTTCGGGCCATTTGTTGCTTGGCGTCGTGCGCATCTACTCGCGCAAAGTGAAATACCTGTACACGGACTGCAGTGAGGCGCTGGTCAAGATCAAACTGGCCTTTCGCCCCGGCGTCGTGGATCTGCCTGCCAACAACCAGCAGGCGGCGTCTCACTCCATCAACGTGTCGAACTTTGGCGAGTTCGAGGCCGAAGTCACATATTCCATCGAGTGCGTTCAATATTCTAACAAAAAGGTGTTTCATTTTTTCTTAGCTGCTGATATGACTAACCCCCTGATAACTATTTGTATGTAAGTAGAGCTATTGCAGCGCCGTCGTTGGACGAATGGATCGCTGCATCCAGCCAAACTTTGGCAAGACGCCAGGACATCACTCTAGCTGATCCACTGGACAAAGTTCGAGAGGCAAATGGCTTTGCTGAGCGAGGTACGTTATTCTTATTGGAAGGTGAATATTGTCTTATTGAAAAAATATTATTCCTGTCTAGATGTAATTGCAATGGAGGACTCTTTCGGCGGTGGAGAAGAAGACTGGCAGGCGTTCGACTTGGACGACAACTTTGGCAGCTCTGGACTGGATATCAGCGCTGTCAGTGACGTCGAAATGGCTCGAGAGGCTGATGCACCCATGTTGCCCCTGGACGACTCGGGTATTCTCAACGCTGGAGACAAGGACAGAAGCTCAATAATCACAGAAGGAGACCAGCCAGAGTTTGGCTACACTGAGGCGTCGTTCGAGATGCCACTGGAGGTGGACAACCCTATGGACGACCATGTGGATGTTAGTGGTGGTGCTCTGGATGTCAGTGCAGATCTTAATGTCAGTATTAACGGCTCGACACGTGCGTCGCTGGATGCAGCACTGGGGAGTGTGGAGATGGAGCCGAACAGACCCAAGAAGAAGAGGAAGATCGCTCGTGACACCGTCACGGAGTTGACCTCTGCGTCCTTGAAACGAGGAATGGAAGACACGTCCAGTATCACCCGACGAGGCATCACGTACCAGACACGTGCAAAGACGAGTGAATTCGACTTGCAGACGGGAGCTGACATGTTTTCTCGACCTTGTATGGCCACCATGTCGGAAGAACTTCTCAAGATGTTCAAGGTCACGATGAAGAAGAGGAAATTCCCATTCAGTGTCAAGGCACAAGACGAGGACGTTGAACTTACTCGACGTATGAGCTCGAACTCGCGCTTGAGCACCAACTCGGTACGTTATTACTACGTGCCTTTAGCTATGGTAGGGACGGCAATGCCTTACACATACTTTGCTGCATTTAGACTGGTCTGGACGTGACGAATGGGTCGTGTGACGCCTCGATGCTGCACGATATCGAGGATGAAAACCACTTTGAGTTTGCCGACATGGGTCTTCCCGAACTGTACGTGTAAAATCGGTAATTATTCCCTATTTAGTGTGGTACACACTAACTGAATACTGTGGGTTTAATGACGTTAGTGAGCGCGTGGACGAGACGTTCCCGAACTACGACGTGGGAGCCCCATTCGAGCCTGAGCAGGACCTGGAAGATCTGAACGTGGACATCGAGTTAGGCGCCGTGAATGACATTCGAAGCGAAGCCAACGGCGGGACTCAAGGCGACCGCGTTGAGGCGTCGACGGCGCAGCACAAGTGGCACCCGCACACTGTGAAAGTGATGAAAGTGTTGCGCAAGGCGCTGGACGACAAGGACGAAGTGACGTACAAGCAACTGACCAAGAAGACGCAAGACCGACGAACAGCAGCCGCGCTGTTCTTCGAGCTACTGCAACTCAAGACGCTCGACTACGTGGACGTGGAGCAGCCTGCGCCGTACGCGGACATCAAGATCTCCAAGGCAGCGCGTTTTGCGGAGCACATCCCGGCGGTGGATCGCGTATCCACCTGAGAACATTTTTGCGTGAAGGCATAAAATTAGGAATCGGACGTTTTTTGTGCTATTTTTTGCAGTTTTTTATTTTCGCACGGGTGTTTTGCAACTATTTTTGCAGTTGCAAGTTCCCATGGTCAGTTGTGTTGAAGTGATTTTTCACATTGAAAATTGCCTTGAGTCAAAAGATGCACAGCTTGCCCGAGTTTCGCTCGCTGAAGGCCAAGATCCGCGTGTTGTGTAAGCAGCGCCGCATCCGGCTGGAAGAGTTCATGAAGACATTCGACACTCATCGCGTTAAAAAGATCCGGACGGAGCAATTTAAACGCGCTCTTGACGTCAGTGGACTCCATTTGTCGACTACGGAGATGAACCTACTGCTGGCCAAGTACCGCATCGCTGAAGACCCGTCTTTCGTGGACTATGGACGCTTCTGCGACTTAATGGACAAGGTGTTTACCGTCAAAGGACTCGAAGCCAAGCGCACGTGGCAGGTCGGTGTTTCAACCGACTTTGAGCCACTCAAGACGTTCGCTTTCGAGACATTAACACCCGCTGAAGACAAGACACTGGCCGTCGTCAAGCAGAAACTCTTAGCTGCTGTGATGCACAAAGGTATCGTGTTAAAGGACGTCTTCCACGACTTCGATCGAAGCAACGCTGGCAAAGTGACTCGACCGCAGTTCGTTCGAGATATCTCGGACATCGTCGTGCTCTCTTCCGACGAGATGGATGTGCTCTTAAAGGCGTATGGAGACAAACTGGACGTGCATTACCGCGCTCTGCACTTCGACATTTGCCCAGGTGCGTCTGGCGCTGGCACCAAAGCAGCGCAGCCGCGATCACCCGAGAGACGCCACTTGGCGACGCCGTCAGGAACACATCACTCGGATGCAGTCCAGCAACTCGAGGCCGAGTTGTCGGAGCTCGCCATGAGAGATCGAATTCGTTTAAAAAACTTTTTCACGGACTTCGATCAGCTGCGTACAAGCAAGTGCACGGAGGCGCAATTCCGACGTTGTGTGAAATTGTGCTTCCCAATTGTAAGTGACAGCGACTTGACGTTGCTAGTGCAAAAGTACGGGACCTTGCAGTCAACCAAAGTGGATTATATTCGTTTTTGCAGTTCTGTTGATGGCAGAGGAATTCAAGATAACAATTACGAGGAAATTCTTGAGACAATCACGAAAAACACAACACACACGAGTATCGACAAATGTTCGCGTGTAATGCGAGGCTCTTTGACTGATAACGATGCCACAGTTCATCAGGGAATGATGCAACGTCTTCACAACTTTTGCTCCACCCGACGAATGTTACTTAAGCCAACTTTCCAAGACTTTGATAAAGGTAGACGCGAACATATCACAGTGGACCAGTTCTTCCGTGTCATGGCCATGTTTAAGCTCAAGTTGAAGGGAGAGAGCGAAAAGAAAGCGTTGTTGCGACGATACGCGAGTTCTCATGGCGAACGGTTCGTTAACTACGTCACTTTTTGCTACGATCTTGAGAACTGGGGCAATGACAACCAACACTCGAATAATCGTCCGTCCTCCCGAGGTGTTGTGTCCGAGATCATAGCACCTTCTAAGCTCCGTACAGACACTTTTGAAGACACTGCGGCGGAGACGCACGTGCGCTCAATTCCGATGTTAATTCGCTACATCAAGCAGACAATCAAGCGCGATCGTATTCGTCTTGAAGAGTATTACCGAGACTTTGACAAACTACGTCATGGGAAGATCACTGCGGCACAATTCTATGCAGGATTAGATGCTGCAGGTTTTCTCTTGTCTCGTGAAGAGATGACACTGCTAGGAGAGGAATATGCATGCAAAGAGGTCGATAGTATGGGGAAACACTGGATCGCGTGGAAGACTTTCGTGGATGACGTGGAGAGTGTGTTTACTGTCAAGGGATTGGAGAAAAATCCGCATCATGATCTGAAAACGTTGCAGACTCGTGAAGGCCAATTTGGCGGCGTTGTTATTGACAAAGATCTTACGCCAGCAGAAGAGGAAGAGATGAAGCAGATTATGCTCACTATGAAGCGCGCGATCGACCGCCAGCGCATGGAGATCAAGCCGACATTTGAGGACTTTGACCGCTCCAAGCAAGGTTTCATCTCTGCTACGAAATTTGAGCGTGTATTGTCAATGTTAACTTTGTTGCCAGCCAAAGCGTCAGATTTGCGACTTTTGCTTATAAAATTTCGAGAGCAAGCGGCAATTGGCACGAGTGCAACTCTGAGCTCCATTTGCGATGTCAATTATCGAGCTTTCCTCCTTGCGCTTCAGATCCTCGGAGCGTACACGAAAAATGGCGATAGTGAAGCCATCAAGAATTTGGTGTTGCCTGGCAGTGTTGCATTCCGACAGGAACAGTATCAGAATGGCATCATGAATGATCACTTCAAGCGCAAAGCTCGTGACCATCATTCTGGTACTGCCAATTTACCGCAACTATTGGCGGAGTTGCGTCGTCAGTTGAGCGTCAAGCGTATTCGCTTGAAAGAATTTATTGTTGAAGGCGATAAACTGCGATCCGGAGAGATCACAGTGGCAAAGTTCCACACGGCACTCAACCGCAGTGGCTGCGTACTTGACGCAGACGACATTCAGACGTTGAGTTCGCACTTCCGTTCGACTAAAAATCCGGACAAGATCGACTGGAGAAGCTTCTTGGGGGCTCTGGACTTTTCCCACGGCATGAACTCGTGGCAGCAAAGTGGCGGGACCGACTCTATCAACCGCATCCTTGAGAAACTGCGCAATGAAGTGAACCACCGTCGTCTACACATGAAACCTTACTTCCAGGACTACGACCACAACAATGTTACACATGTGACAAAGTTCCAATTCGCTGCGGTGTTGGACATGATGCAAGTGTCCCTGAAGCCTGCAGAGGTTCAAGCACTCACGCACCAGTTTGCACACCGCGACGGTCGCAAGCTCACCAACGACGTCAACTACCTTGCCTTCATCCAAGCCGTCGACTCAGATTACTCCTAAGAAATGTGTTGCTTCAAACATACATTCTTTATTCAATGATCAACACTCACATTAAAAAGACAAAAAGCATTATTAACAAGCGCGCCTGTCGGAAGGGCGTATTTCTAAGTCCTCTCGGCCTCATAAAAGCAAAAAGTTTCTAATCTCTCGTCACTCCTTTGGTTTGACTCGGCCGAGTACACGCCGTTGCGACATTCAAGGTGCAGCACGACTCGTCTTCGATCTTGTGTTTTTATCTCCTGTGGATGAGCGACATGAACTCGCTTCTGGTGCGTGGGTCGCTCTTGAACACGCCAAGTACGGAGCTCGTGACGGTACTGGCTCCGCTTTTCTCCACGCCACGCATGACCATACACATGTGTGTGGCCTCAATGACGACAGCCACGCCCTTGGGCTCAATGACGCCCATAATGGCATTCGCGATCTGCTTTGTCAGACGCTCCTGCACCTGCAGACGACGCGAGAAGACCTCGCTGACTCTCGCCAGCTTACTGAGGCCCAGTACTTTGCCATTAGGGATGTATCCGATGTGCACTTTACCCGTGAACGGCACCATGTGGTGCTCGCACATGGAGTACAGGTCAATATCTCGTACAATGACCATTTCGTCGTGGTCTTCCTCGAATACAGCCTCGTTCAAGACATCACTGAGGCTCTGGCCATAGCCCTTGGTGTTGTACAATAATGCCTTGGCCATACGCATAGGCGTCTTGACAAGACCCTCGCGCTGTGGATCTTCTCCGATGCATTCGAGCAATGTGGTAACGGCTGCAGCCATCTTCTCGAGCTTTTCCTTGTCCTCAACGTAGTCGTTGGGAGAACGCGAAGGAAGCGTCATGGAGAGCTGCTCTAGTCGCTCTTCCTTAGTGTTCTGCATTCCTTGGGATTTCGCAGCGCTGGCTTGCACTAGGAACGAGTCGGTGGGGTGCAGGCCGTGCTCGGCAGTGCTGAGAGTGGTTGTGATGGGGGCCATGGGCACTGGCCAGGAGCTCTTCGGGTACTGAGTCACTTTTTGCGAATGACCGGCGGGCAGACGAGCTGCGGTGATTGGGAATGGCGCTGGGCGGTATGTGATTGGGAGATACTCGAATCCTAACAAGCCATGTGATTTGAGGATATTTGTTTCGACCAGTCAATGGCATTGTTTTTCATTCCGCTGTTAAACAAGAATTGATGCGACGCCAAGGTGGCCGCGTCGATGCAGGGAGGAAGCGTGTTGGCGAGCACCATGACGGCAGCTTCGGCGTGTACATGTCGCACAAGGTCCAGAAGCTCCGCAACCAGAACGAGAGCTTCACTGCGGCGGCGTCACCTGATCGCGCACCTAGTGGCAGTAAATCTGGCATCTTCCAGGGCATTCATGTATACGTAGACGGGTATACAAAGCCCAGCAAGGAGGAAATCCGGCAGCTTATGTTGCTGCATGGCGGCGGGTTCGAACATTACGACACAGGTCGAGTGACGCACCTTGTCGCAACTCATCTCCCGGCGTCTAAACTACTGCAACTTCAGTAAGTTGAAGCTGACTTCAATGAGCAAAAGCAACTTTACTCATTGCTGTGACTACAGGAAGGCAAGGAAGCCGCTGCCAGTCGTACATCCAGACTGGATCGTACAGAGCATCGAGCAGAACAAACTCCTACCCATACAGTCGTTCCTGTATGCAGGCTTCACTGATCCCACACAAAACAGCATCTTCAGTTTATCCGGATCGGCAACTCAAGCTGAAGACAAAGCAAGCTCTGACGCTGTCGTTGACGCGTTTAAACACTTGGAAGAAGATGATGAAGAAGACGAGTTCGATGTGCAGGAAGACCCTCCAGCGTTTCCACCGCCAAGTAAGAATTGCTCCACTACGTCGCTTAAGTTGCGCACCAATTCCACCAAAGATGGCCCCGATTTCGTCCGCCACTTCTTCGCCAAGTCTCGACTTCACCACATCGGCACGTGGAGAGCAACATTCCAACAGAAAGCAGCCGAGTTCCAAGCCCAATACAAAGGAGGCCCCGTAACTAGAGCCTCAGCGACGTCTAGTGATCGCGTAATCCTTCACGTAGATATGGACTGCTTCTTCGTTGCTGTGGCTGTGCGAGACAAGCCAGAGTTACAGGACGTTCCCGTTGCTGTTGCGCACTCGAGCAACGCTGGGTCGTCCGAGATCTCGTCGTGCAATTATTCAGCGCGAGCCAAAGGAGTGGGTGCAGGCATGTTCATGCAGACGGCGAAAGAGCTCTGTCCCGAATTAATTGTCCTCCCGTACCAGTTTGACGATATCCAACGTGTATCGTTCCAGATTTATGATATTTTCTTCTCCCACACTCCGTATGTACAAGCAGTGAGTTGTGACGAAGCGTTCCTTGAGTTCGAGAAAGGAACGAAGGGTATGGAGAAGGCAAATGCCATAAGACAAGAGATTTTCGAGCAGACCGGATGCCCTGCAAGTGTTGGAGTGTCGTTTAATATTCTACTAGCAAAATTGTCTTCTAAAAAGGCCAAACCTGATGGAGTTTACGCAATCAGTGACCCGAGTCAAGCGAAAGAGTTCATGCTGCAACTTAAGGTCCGGGACTTACCAGGAGCTGGACACATGACAGCTGCAAAGCTCGAAGCGTTGGGAGTTGAAGATGCTCGCCAACTAGTCTCCATGACGAGAACTGAACTGGTGCAATCACTCGGTAAAGCGGCGGGGGAAAGGCTGTTTAATTACGCTCGAGGCGTCGACATGCGTCCGCTGTCGATGGAGTCCAATATGATGCGGAAAAGTGTGTCAGCTGTCGTGAATTTCGGGATTCGATTCGACAAATGGGAAGACGCGACTGTGTTTTTGATGGCGCTAGGCGAGGAACTGAGTCATCGTCTTCGGAATTTAAAGGTACGGACGAAATGTCTGACGTTATTGATCAAGAAACGCGCGGAAGGAGCTCCGATTGAGCCGTCGAAGTTTATGGGTCATGGCGTTTGTGATAATTTCTCAAAAAGTCAAATTTTAGCTCAACCCACAGACGACGAGGTTGTGATTGGTAAAGCGTGTATTGAGCTCCTTCGGCAACTTAATTTCCCAAGTGAAGACCTTCGTGGTGTCGGCGTACAAGCGACAAAGTTAATCTCGGATGCTCCAAGTAAAAAAAAAAGTGGCCAGCTGTTCAAAGCGTGGCTCGAAGACTCTGCACAACAATCAGGGGACACGTCGTCGATGCAAGAACCCGAAGAGTGTGAAGCAAAAACTGAGAATGAACAAAGCACGAGTGACTTTGCAGTGACAAGGTTCTCGCAGATTAACATGGGGGTGCTGGAAGAGTTGCCTGAACAACTTCAGCGAGAGATCTTAGCTTCGTATGGCCGAGGTGTGCCGTCCGCTGCTGCTCAAGCGAATCGACAGCCTTTGCATAAGCGAAAACCTAATGGGAAGGCGCCACTACGACGCAGACAACCGGCTAGAAACATCTTTGACTCCAAGTCGAATAGCCGATTAGCACGTAGTGTCCATACTTCGAGTGGTGGGGATGGGAAGGAGGACGCACTGAATGATATCCGGCTGTCCCAAGTGGACTCGGAAGTGTACCACTCGCTGCCTCTTACGATCCGAAGAGAAGTGGATCGATACGCGAAGAAACGCAGACCTACGTCAACTGCTGCGAGGCCCAGAGCTCCATCGGTTAGTAGTCCCGAGCAAGCAGTGAAGAAGAAATCGACTCCTGTTGTGCTACCAACGATCGAAGATTTGTATGCGAACCTGGTTGAGGGTCTTCAAACGACCGAGCACCCGACTGATAGCCCTCGAGCACAGTCGGCTGCCTTCGACGCAATCTACTCGCGTATCTTGGTCGAGGTGGAGAACCGCGCACTGGATCAGGTCTTGCGGATGCTCCGCTTTGTTCGTCGGAAGTGTTCCGGGACTGCCACCCCAGCGCAATTTGCTGAACAGCTGAAGCGCGGATTCAATCATGTTCTGAACCTTGTGAATCAGGATATACGGCGGTGTTTTAATGGAGTACTGTCCTTGCGACTAGTGGCTCCACTGGGGTTGAATTCAACAGCTAATGTACACCAATCGAACATCAGCACCCACCCAAAATTGGAGATAGGCGATGGCATTCTGACAGTGTAAGTGAACAATTTTGAATGTGACAAGTGTTAGCGCAGATGTTTTAAATGCAGAAAATAGTAGTAGATTCCTTACAAGAGACGCATAAAGCTCATCCAACGGGCGACTCGAGAGTGTCGAATACTTGAAGCCGTTATGCGTTGAAACAGCAACTAGACTCTAGCTGGTAACGCACGCCAACACTCACGCTTAGAGTGCTGGCGTGTATCACCCGTCTCAGGCGCAACTCAACTTAGAGATGCTACAGTTAGCTGAGGTCGTTCAACTCGCACAACTTAATCTGCGCTTCGATCGGCTACTGATCAGCTCCAGCCATCTACGTTGAAGAGAAAAACTTACTCTGAGCAACTTTGAAGTGACCTCGTCACCTGACCAAGATATCGGGCCCTTTCCAATTTCTAGTGTGGTAGGCCCATGGTTCGAGATGGAGACACTCTGCAATTCTTGCCCCGGCTCGCCAGACAGTTACAGGTGGAAGCTTATCCTCGGTGATCGTAAGCTCTGGTGTCTACGCAAGAAGGCGGGCTCAAGGCCTTCTGGTCCCGTTTGTATAACACGTCTACAATCTGGAAATTGGCGAAACCAACCACGAATGCCCCCCCCCCTTAAATGCCAGGATCAAGGTTGGAGATATTTTCGACTGCTTTTCTTCGAGTGATGGCGTTCTGCAAGTCCCAACGTGGAATGCTGCGGTGGAGGACTACCTCGAGAACGATCCTCGAGTGAAGTACCATCTAAGTCGAGTGAGTTCACGTCATTGACAAGAAGGGGGTCGAAACCTTGAATAAGCGCAGTCAGAGCATGTCGTGATGGTAGAAGACGCTAGTATGGACCCAATGAAAACAGGTTAACCATTTAAGACGTGACAGTGCATCTAGTTAGCCCTTCTTACGCATATATTTGTTACTTAACAGCAATGCCATCTTTCTCAACGTTGCTTGCTAGAATCGTGTGGAGCTTATAGAGTGCATCAGACGCTGTCGGTCGTGTTGCAGGATCCAGAGATACACAGGCATTCCCCAGTTCCACAACAGCTTTAACCGCTTCTTTCGAGAACTTGACGTGTAGCTTCCCGGTCGCTACCATTTGCAGAATAGCTGGCTCGGGCATCTGCCGACTCGAATCATTCGGGTCTTTAGCATGCCAGTAGGGTGATAGATGTGTGTCCAGCTCCGACAACACGACGCCAAAGGAAAACATATCTGCTTTGTCGTCGTATCTGTCCCCAATCATCACCTCTGGAGCCATCCACAAGCACGTTCCAACGCCTCCAGTCATCGACTCGTTCACTCGCTCTCGAGACGTACCGAAATCCGTGAGTTTTGCGTCTAGTTTTTCGTTCAACAAGACGTTCTTAGACTTGAGATCTCGATGGATTATCGGAGGATCCAGCGAGTGCATGTACGTTAAGCCATGTGCCAGATGTAGAGCGATCTTGAGTTTATCCCTGTTGAAACCCTTAGGGTGTTTCTGCTCTTCGTAGTCACTTAGCAAGGCCTTCAAGTCGCCTCCAGCCATAAATTCCGATACGACACACATGTTCGTCAACGAGTCCCAAGCTACTCCGATAAACTCGACAATATGAGGATGGTCCATAGCTGCCATCATCTTCACTTCGGCCAATAGGTCGACAGCGTGGGAAATACTACGTCGAGTTTCGGGTAACAGCATCTTGACAGCGACACGTCGACCATTGTAGAGACCCGAATACACGACACCGAAGCCTCCTCGACTGAGTAGTTGGACCACAACGACCTTATCCCGAGGGATACGCGCTGCCAGGACGAAATCGTCTTCCCACGGACGAGTCATTGTCGTCCCTGGAAGTGTCAAGCTGGAACTCGATCCAGGCCCTGAGACGTGATAAGTCGAGTTGAAACTGGAGAGCGCAGGAGCGAAGGAGCGCGTCGTTTGCTCTTGGAAAGTTGAGCACGTGCTACTAGGGAGAAATGTACGACCGCTTAAAGGTTTGGACATGAAGATTGCATCATCTTCTAGCATTGCGACGCTGTCGTTCTCAGTGTTACGTGGTTGTAACATTCGCTTCGTTGATCGCCATTTCCACGTTACGACGCCGATTGCGCCGAGAATCAAGACGACTGCGATGGTAATAGCGACGAATGTTACGCCGGGACGCTTTTGTACACTAGCAGTCGTGCTTTGAGGCTCTACGAATGTTCCTGAAGACGACGTGTTTGTTACTTCAGCGTGCATGGAGTTTGACGTTTGGCTGCTATCTGTAATGTAAAACTTGCTGGCTTGGTAACATTTGTGTGACGCCACCTCAGTCTTGTTTGGTAATGCTACAGACGCAGGTGGGAAGCTGCAATTGGTGGCAGGGAAGAATTGCACGTTGATGGATTCGTTGTCGATTATTGTGGCGATACTTGACGCGTTTTTAGCCAAAGAAACGGAGGAAATCGCGTAGGGAACGCAGTGAGCCAAGTCTTGAAGTGCGTGTGTCCATGCGTACGTCTCGCTACTGCAATTGGGCTGTCGGAACTGGTCGATCACGATGTGTCTTGTACCTGAGAACGCTGCCGTTATATACGTGTGTGTGTCCGTGTCAATGTCCATACAAGTTGTGTTGTAGTAATACATATTGGCGCCGAACTCGATATGGGTACACGGCTGCGGTGAGCAGATTGACGAGGAATTGGTGACCTGCATACTTAATGGCGTCGAGCACGTGTTGCCATGGTAGAACGCTATCGCCTTGGACACGGCTGCAAAGCTCGGGTTAAATAACAGAGAGACCAGCACGAGGGACCGCAGCAGAGTCATGGCCGTTCGAGAATGAACAAGTCGCTTGGATTCTCGCTATTACCTCCGACTCTTAAGTGGTAGAGCCCGACAGACAGAGCTCAGCTCATCCAGTGTCTGACGTCCAGATCGACGAGGACCTGTACGGAATGGTGCAAGACGCGTATAGTGGCATGGACCCACTTTCTCTTTAATGGAGAGGAGATGCTGGGGCAATCAGAGCGCGTCGTTTCCGCCTTCATCTGGAATATTGGATCGCTGTACGTCGTGGCATCGTTGGAGATGCTTCTCAAAGGAGTCGAGCGGGAGCATAGTGACCCGTTGGCCACGTTTCCGGTCGCGGTTGAGCTCCATGCAACGCTCTCTGGCTTCGTCGTACGTGCACGCGACCACTTCACCCTGTTATAACGTATGTTTTAGTGCATGTACGACGGATAACACGAGCACGAGCGTTCGCTTACCTGTTGAGTGAGCTGCTGACGGTGTCGGAAGTCCGTGTGGCTAGTGTAGAAGACGTACTCACGCTGTACGAGCGTCGACGTGTGTTTATCGATATTAGTTTCAGTCTTCTTGTGCTGTTCTCGTCTCTTAGCTCCCACTGCTTCAGCCTTGAAAACGCCGCCATATTGCTCCAGTTTAGCCACTTTTCCACGCTTCTGGAACTGTTCCTGGATGGATACCATCCCTCTAAATGCACGTAAAAGAGCGTCGTGCATTCGCCGTCCAGTCTCGCTCGGCTCCAGCAACATTAGCGCCGACGCCACAGCCTCCAACGTCGACACGCAGCCTTCCATCGGCTCCCTGTAACAGAATAGTTAGTCCAGTTCTGTTCCCAACACAGTATAAACGCTCCTCACCGCCTCAAGTCGCCGTAGATACTCCGTTTAAGCTCGCCAGCGAGACAAACATACTCCAGCTTGGCGCCTCGTATCTCCCAGTCCCTTGCCGCTTTCTCCCAGTGCTTCTTGTTCCTGTGTGCGATCTTCTTGGCCTCTTTCCACGTGCCGTCGATGACGATCAGCAGCACGCGCTGAGTCTCCCTCCCCACTCCTTCGCCCAAAGGCTGCGCATGTTCATCGGGGAATAAAATCATCGCCGTGTCGAACGTGTCATCTCCCCCTTCATCATACAGAAAGGCATCAAGCTGTTCATTCTTCCCTGGACCACAATCGCACGCTTCGTCGACCGTCACGAGCGTCACGTTCTCAATCGTTTGAGCTAAAAGCGGCACCGAGGAGATCGCAGCACGTCGTCGCTTCTCGTGCTGATGCTGCAGTACCACAACGTGCGTCGACTTGGTAGCGAGCGGCTCATTGGGCAGCGACGCGCAGTAGCAGACGCGCAGTGGACGCTTACACCTGTCACAGACGTCTCGACGTGTGTCCTCCATTCAAATTCTGACAATGAAGCGGAAGATGGACACAAAGTGTCCTCAAAGACAAACATGAACGCAACTGATGGACAGACTAAACGATTATTGTATGGTTCAGGAAGAGAAGGACGTTTCCATAGGATTAATTAGGCTCCTGCTTAAGCGGTGGGCTGGAACACCGGGTCCACGAGGGCGGGGGCAGCGGCGGCCGGCACCACGGGGGCCGTGGGCTCCACGTAGGGGCGGTGCACCTCCTCCTTAGGCTCCAGGATGGTCACAACGTCGTCAAGAGCGCGCTTGGGGCCCTGCTTGCCCGTAGGGTCGTGCGGCAGCATGATAGACACCTTGACACCGAGCACACCCTGGCGCATCAGAACGTGACGCACAGCCGTGTCGACGTACTCCTGCGAAGCGTTACCGGTCTTCACCATGTAGCCCTCGTTGAACTTCATGGCCTTGGCACGCTGAGCACGCAGCTTACCGGACACAATGACCTGCACACCCTTGGCGCCGGCCTCCATGACGAAACGCACGACAGAGTAACAAGCGCGACGCACGGCCAGACCGCCAAGAAGACGGTACTTGAGCGACTCGGCCTGGGCCTGCGAGCACAGACCACGGTTGGCCACGCGCTCGGCGTACAGCTCGACGGCTCCGTCCGGGAAGTTGAAACGCTTCTGCACGACGGACGTCAGGGCGCGGATGCGCTGGCCCTTCTCGCCGAGCACCTCCTGGGTGCGCGTGGCACGGATGATGATCTCAGTGCGCATGGGGGTCACGCGCACCTCGACTCCAGAGTAGCCATCGCCGTACAGCTCACGCTGCAGCAGCTCGTTCAGCTCGGCGTAGAACACACCGTCGGCCACGAATTTACGCTTCTTGGAGATGTTGGCAGCCATTCTTGTCGTCTTCTCTTGGAGATTCCTGAGTGAGGTCCAGCAAGGCGACTACAAGCTACGCGCTCGCCAGCCAATGGTTCAGAGAGGGACTTTGTGTGCGCGACATTAGAATAGTGTGGTGGACTCGATAGTGTAGTTAAAAATCTGTCGTGATGGCCTTAAGTACTGTCTGTGTGGCGACGATGGCGTAGCTATACGTCGTCCTAGCGTTACTTCTCAGTTTTCTGTCATGAATGAAGAGGCTAGATGAGGCAGAGATAGCGACTGCTGCTACGAGCGACTTGGGGACCAAGAAGCAGCGTATTGAGCATCTGATCCAGCGAGGGGATCATCTCGCTAATGCGCAGCAAGAACGGCAGCTTAAAACGACTTCAAAGGTGCCTACGAGCTTATCGCACAACTCGTCTTCAACCTGCACCACTTCGGCAGTTTTTCCTGCGCGACGCTCGTCCTGGACGCCGCAGGAGGACGATAAGCTCAGGAAACTGGTGCACCAACTTGGCGGTCGTAACTGGAGTGAAATTTCTACGTATTTTCCTTCCCGCGACCGCAAACGATGTCGCGAAAGGTTTGTGAACCACCTGGCGCCGTCGCTAACTCCAGCGTCGAGTATGTGGAGCGCAAAAGACGACGAAAGGCTGCTACAATTGCAGCGAACAATGGGCTCCAAGTGGACAAGAATAGCAACAGAATTCAGTGGGAAGAGCGCAGAGAACGTAAAAAATCGCTGTCTCGTGTTGGCCAGGAAGACAGCGGATAAGAGCTCAAAACACCGGAGAGCACCGCCGCAACGGTGGGCAGCAGCCGAGAAAGATAAACTACAGGCATTAGTGACGATGCACGGAGCGAAGAACTGGCTGTTCATTGCCTCGCAACTGCCTGGACGCACAGACTTGCAGTGTCTTCAGCAATGGTACCGGACACTGGATAGCAAGGTAGTGAAAGGCAAAGGGACGTGGACGCCGAGTGAGGACCAATCGCTGGTCGAGAAAGTGGCAGAGCTGGGGCGGAAGTGGACGGAGGTGAGGAGTCTGTGACGTGATGAGTGGACTGGAAGGCGTACTGACGACGGATCTCTTGCAGGTTGCTGCGTTCTTACCTGGTAGGATGGGAAACCAGTGTCGCGAGCGATACTTGAACCACTTGGACCCGACGATCAACACGGTGATGAGTCTCTACAGTAGTTCACGAAACAGTTGAGCATTTATATTTTTTATTGATGTTGCTACTGGACAGGAGCCATGGTCAGACGCCGAAGAGAAGATCCTAACTGATGCTATTGAAGCGCACTCGACGCAGTGGAGTTTGATTGCGGAGAACTTGCCAGGTCGATGTGAGAATGCCATAAAAAATCATTGGTACTCCCGTGAACGACGTCGCATGCTGGCAGCAGCTTCGAGTAGAACGCCATCGACAAAGGCGGCACATTAAGAGGCCGATGGATCGGACTATGACTTCAAGAGATAGCATCAGAATAAACGTTGGCTTATTCACATTACATGTATACGTGCTCAATAAACAAAAGAAGACATAAATAAGCAAGTCCGTGGTATGTACTTCAGCGGCTAAACGCATCGCATTGCTTACATGCTCCCTAGGTTTGAACTAACGCATTGATGTCAGGGAGCCCGAAAATGCAATACTTAGATTAATACATCGATGTGAGCTGAGAAAATTAATAATTCAATTATTTGCAAAACTTCGCAAGTCACGATTGTAGTTCAGAAACATTATCATCTCGAGCCTGGCTGGAGACATTCGCTTCCGTAGATCAGACAGCACCAGCTTAGCGAGAAGGAAGAAGCGCTCACACTCGTTAGACGTTGGCGGGATGTACGCGACGTCGACGTAGTGCGCAATTGCGTTTCTTGAACGCCGCTCTCACAATAGAACGCTCGTCGGCGGCTCTTGAAGACGACCGTTCGAGATCAGGCGACCTAAATTCAGCGCAGGCTAACCGTTGTTGACAGCCATAAATTAATAATTAAATTAAAAAATTAGGATTAATTTTTACGCATAGTATTTTTTCGGGCTCCCTGATTGATGTACATTTTAGCACATCACTATTAACCCGAATTTTGAGACACCAAATGCGTTATTCACGGTACTTTAATGTCGTAACTTACTCCACAGCTATTTACTTCTTTTCAATATGAGGTGCATAACCGCACGCGGGAAGACGTATAAGTTCTCAACAGGTTTCTTCAGCAATGTCGTCACTTATACAGCATAAGTAAGCTCCTACTGCTCTAAATGTCGTAACTTGCCCCCGATCAAGAAAAGAAAGGCGTCCACAGTTGTACCATGAATCCTGCACATCAATGCAAGAAACTATACATTATGGCCTGCCTAGAACAAGCAGTCATCCTGGACGTTGCTCATCACACCATTACAGATGCGCACGCGCCATAATTATACCTCATCAGCTTCACATTCCTTACCTTCTGCATCGTCCTCGTGGAGCTCCAGTTCTCGGCGCGTTTTCTTCCGCTCCCCAGCCACTTGTCCAGGTCGACGGAGCACTACTTTCTTGCCCAATGTTACTGGAATGCTTTGTCCGCACTCAAAGTTTTCGTGCCAGATCGCGAAGCACGTTTTGGCTTCACCTTTGAAGCTATGATGGATTTTGTTGCAGAGCCAGCATTTCGCCGAGTCAACAGAGCAGCGCTCACAGAAGAACGTGGTTGCATACGACTTCTTCTTCGGGTTGCTTCGCAGCAGCACGCATTCCTTACAGGATCGCTAGCGACGCTTCTGTACGCCACTCACCGTCACCCAGTCTTCTGATTGCTCGAGCGCATGTGAAAGCCGAACAGATGTTTTTCTGCGCTTCTGGGAGTTGGCAGGCGGCGTCACATCCACACCAGCAAAGTCTGCTGCCTTCAGCTGAAGTAGTTGGTTATGCAGAATGCAAAACCAGTCGCCACGAGACATCGCAGGTGTGCCAGCCAGTCGTGCCGTCTCCTTGTGCGAAATATAAGCATTCACTAGCGCTAAAGCCACAAACCCCAAGAACAAACACGTGTAATAATTGGTGAACCTTGTAGACGTCTGCAATGAGAATCTCTGGAGGCGGAGCTGGTCATGGACGTCCACTCCGCCCATCCAGCGCTGGCAATCATTGACAGCTGCCGAACATGGGACCGTTTCCGGCCCAACCCTCTTTACATTTCTTTGGATCGACGAGATTGTCATGGCGGAGCCTGTGCACAAGTAGTGCACGGGTTTGTGATCCCACCAGTGAAACGCTACCATGCTTGGGACTGCCGTCGAACGGGAGTCCAGGAAGGAGCCTCGAGGAATAGCCGCAGGTCTAGTTTTTCGATGCTCTCTTACTTGTTTGTCAAATCCAAGTCTATCGGACATTATAGTCCCAACCACGTAGACACTCATACTTAGCAACTCGATGGCCAGCAGAATCGATGAATAGAAACGATCCACAACCACAAGATGCCACGGGTGACGCTGTTTTGACTCCAGAATCATCTTCATGTTTCGGACGACTGCTGCAGCACCTGTCTTGTGATCAAATGAAGTGTCTCTACCTTCTCCTGCGTTGCGCTTTCCAGCATACATCTCAAATCTAGTAAGTGACGACATAGGCAGTCAGATATCAGTACCGAACCCGTCACATACGACATTAGCAAAAACATCAGACGAACCTGTAGCAGTAGGCGGTTCTCGAATCACACATCATAAACATTTTCGACCCGTACTGATGAGGCCTATCGGGCATGAACATGCGAGTAGTGTTGCGCCTAGAAGTGGATGGAAGCACCCCTTCGTCAAAGGAAAAAAACAGCAGGGAGAGTCCATCCAGACAGAAACCGCTGCTGCAGCTTGTCGATAACTGGGCGAAGTTTCCACAGCTTGTCGCGTGTGCTATCGGCCTCGTCATCTACGAAGTGTAAGTCTTGGAGAATCTCCTGGCACCTGTTGCGTCCCATGAACCGCCCGAAGTAACCTGCTGGTACTGCACCGTCCTCCGTCATTGACCAGTGAGCTGCAAAACTTCTCTTCTGTGGGCACAGCATTCGAGCGATGAGAAGGCCAATGACATGCATTACTTCGTGTGTCTGATAGCCAGCTTTTGCCTTCAATCGGCGGCGTACTTGCGCCAGTGTCTTTTTCTGACGAGGTCCATGTTGGGTAAGGATGGCTTGGGCGCGTCTCTCGATGTTTTGCTGGCAGTATCGGCTCGTCTCCTCCATGATTCTAGCCCACAAAGATTTTGGTAAGAAATAAAACAGCGTCAGCAGAGGCGAATGACACTGGCTGCGCAACTCAAGGACTGGTTCCGCGTCTTCCATATTGAGCCCCGGGTAGGGGCGTACGTCTTCCTCATACGACCCCGACGCTAGAGACCAGGTCATCCCACGTAGAGCAGCAGACCGCTGCTGCGTTGCACTCGTCGGCAATGTGCCGTTTTCAATCTGAAGTGACTGCACGAACGCGTTGTCCATCTCCACAGCGTCGTTCTCTGTAACGACGTCATCGCTTTCGTTACCAATAGAGCTGGCGTCGTCGTCATCATCCACGATTTCGCCACTCTCGCTTTCGTCAGAGCTGAAGCTTTCGTAGGCGCTCAGGTTCTCGTCCTCAGGGACGTAGTTGACGTCCTTCTTTACATGAACTCGCGGTCGGAGCACGCGGGTCGGCTCTGCAGTGACAACATCTACTTGGGCACCGTCGCTCTCAGCCCCTGACACCTCCGATAGAAGCTGTAGGTTGGCATCAGAATCTCGCTGGGAGTCTGCTGCATGTAGCTCGCCAGGTGAGACGTCAAATGCTCTGGTCACAGCGTCCTGCGAGAGCTCAACCTCTGAGTCGCTCTCAGATCCGAAGAGTTCATTCAGCGTGTTTTGGGAGAGTTTGGCGCTAGTGTCAATCTGGGATGGGCGGACGTCTTCATCCGCATCATCTTCGGCCCTCCCACCGTCACCAATCTCCACAACTTCAGCCGCTTCAACATCTTCATCCACCGCGTCGATTGCGCTCTCAACATCATCAGCATCAACGTCTTCTAGCAGTACAGATTCAATAGCATGCACGACAACCGCGTCCTAGCCAACAAACGAATGAACACCATCAGGACTCACATACCTCCAGTCTGTCTGCATGCCGCTGGGTCGCTTGGACGTCCATCCGGCTCCGCGAAGCTGACTCCACAAATGGCGGAAGTCGATGTCTCGAGCCACTGCGGCTACGGCGTCTGTTTTTCCACGGGCACTGGCCCGGATGCGCGCCATCTTGCGCATTCTAGAATGACTGGCAGTTGTGTTCCTTCTGTATCCCTTTGACCCGTATCTATTTCCTCATCCCCACCCCTGTTGTGTCTCTGCTCACTTTCCCTGTGACCTCTCGCATCTTATCAATTTGAAAATATACTGATTAAAGTATTGTTCGAGCCATTTTCTATTGTCGCACGCCGTACGTCGTAAATACGACATAGATATTTTCGTATGGCGTAACTTTCGACGTCGAGAGGTAAGGTTCTTAAAGACAGTCGCATCCCTCCTTACCTCTGAAATGAAATAATTTCAGAGAATATAAAGCAATAAGGAATAAGCATTATAATACTTCTAACTCATTACTTTATCCTTGAAGTATAATCTGAAAATTATTTTATGTTTTTCTCCTCACTCATTTATTTGTGCAAAACCGCCTTTTTTACTTTTTTGCGTGCATTAACACATTACGACGGATGTGCCAATGGAATAGCATCTTATTCGACGTGGTAAACACTGCTTCTGTTGCATTAGTGCACACTAAATCGCGGTCGATAACGATGACTTTCGGTAGCGGTGCATAATGTCGCTCCATGAGACTCTTCAATTGTGTAAGTGCCCACGTAAAGTCAGGCTATACCTCACCGGGTAACCAAACTTGCGTGAATACAAGGATGGTATTTAGTCCTGAAAGAATGATCGCATTTAAGAGAGACATTTGGAAACGATTGGTCCTGTAGGTACAATCGAGGATAAAATTATCCCTAAAGTCTCGTACCATAGTTGTGGTAGCTGGATGAGCCCACATTACGTAGCGTGGCCTTGTAGAATCGGGATCAACTTCGAACTTGTAGTGGAACTCTTTGTCTTCTAGCATCCTAAACAACGTCTCATTTCTTGTTCTTAGCGAGCAATTTCGATCGAATTGAAGGCTTAGCGTTGGCGATGCCCTTTTGGATCACTAATGTGCTCTCGTCGTTAATCAGCATTGTAGCATAAATTCTAGACGCTGAAACGCCAGCCATTGTTTGGACAACAACAAGATTGTTGTTAAATACCTCAGGAGCTCGTTTTTGCCTTGCTGCACGTTGACGGTGTGCAACGTGAGCACGAACGTCTTGCGATACTGGGCAGGGTTCTGGACTAGGGATGAATTGGTCGAATCAAAAACCATTTATACCACCCTCCCACCCAGACAGTTTG